TCACTTATTAAGGGATAAGCAGACCTTAAGTGGGAACAAAGCGGGGGGGAAACGAGCAGCAGGAAAACGAAACGGTGTCATAATAAGCAGGTGTAAGTCATGTTATTAATGAGTAGTCAGAAAACAGGGAAAGTTACCCTTGTTCACTGTTGATTCACAGGGGGAATCAACAGTTAATTTGCTTGCATATTTATCCGAACACGTTGATGAGGTCCTATTCTGCTACAAGCGAGCTGCCACTAGAATGGTTGCCGCCCTCAAATCCGTGGACTACGAACCGCGTCTCGCTGTGCTTGATCGCTTTCCCCTGGAGAACCTTCGCCTCCGAGGGGACCTAATTCTTAGTTATGCCCTGTTTGACCAAAGCTTGGCAAACAGGTTTTCTACCGTTGACCCAGCAATCACATTGTGGGGACATGGTAAAAATGTTTTCAAGCTCAGTGCACACACATTCATTAGACAAAAATTTTTCTCATTTCGGGTAGTAGCTGCGTGGAATGACCTTCCTCCAGAGGTTGTTCACGCTCCTTCTAGAACCCGGTTTAAAGCACTATTAGACATTTGTTTATGCGAATCCTCGCGCTGGCAAGCATACTGTCCCACGCTGAGAACATTAAGTGCAGTGCTACACCCTTTTTTCACTTGTGCCTTTCAGGTGAGCGACAGCCACTGACCGACAAGAACAAAAGTGACCCGGGAAACTTGGGCAAAATCATCGATCCTGTGTATCAATTCGTGAATCCGTGAATCCGTGAATCCGTGATTCCATGGACTGTCCGAACTAAATCTTGTTACGGTAGCTAAAAATTAGGTACGAATCGGTTCTCTGCGCAATTCAGTACCTCTTTATGGTCCAGCAAACCTCTTCCTTATCGTAGGACGTCCACCGCCTTAGACGCTCCTAATGAAAAGTTAACGTTGCACATTCCGGACGGCCACCTACAAGTGGCAGGTTGGCTGATCTTCTGTACTTCGCTTCCAATCGCTCGCTTTGTTGACATTGGCCTGGACACAGTTGAGCCACAAGGAAGAGTCAATAAGTTTCTACATAATGCAACCGTCGGCGGATCCGGTAGTTCAATACCAAGGGCTACATTATTATTTCGAAAATGCTTCCCTCAAGTACTCAAGATGGGATAACCAATGCTTACTGTGGTATCACAGTTATCCATGGTTGCGGCTTTTGATGCAGTTTGCATAGACCTCAATCTCACTCACCTCCCTACATCGCGCTATTTGCTTGGACGATAAAAAGAATATTTGTCCGATTGAGCCACTTTCTCTAACTTATCAATCATTGTGGTGGAAATTTTTATCGCATGAAAGGAGCAACAAACGTCGCAGTATTTTATATTGCTGCTTCAGGCTGCGTACCCGTGACTTATTCTAGTCAACCATAATCGCTCTGGCGAACTCCACGAACGATATCTCCTGGACACATTATTCAATGACCATATCATAACATTTTTGTGATACATTTCGGGTAAAGAAAAAAGACACTATGGCCAATACCAGCCCAATCGTTGATTGCCACACATCACAGGTGGTAACCATATATTGTGCCCACCGTGTACATTGTTGCATGCTTTGAACTTCGACAATATCTGATTTGAGCTCCCTGTTTGGGTGTTTTCCACTCCGTCTGGCTTGTGATATGCGTCGACAGAGATCCTCAGTCGGACGAAAGATACCTGCGAGCTTACATCGGCTTCGTTCCACCTCTGTGGATTCCCTTGGCCAACCTCGAAAAATCTCACCGCTTAAAGAATCGCACATCCCAGCCCAATTACTTTAAGTACGATGTCCGTTAAGGGGCTGTCCAAAAACCAAAGTATGTCAGGTCAGTGTGGCACGACACTTCCATACCCAGTTTCATGGCACACCAGCAACAATTCCGTTCCTAGTCTTGACCGTATGCCTTCGCTCACTTTCAGTCAACAGCAAATACGAACCAACATTTCACACGGCTTCAATCGCCGCTACAATGCATTCATTTAAATCTGCTGAAACACTTGCTTGAATTTAACCGTTTAGGCGGGCTTTCAGTCTATGTTCTTCACAAGGTCCTCAAGTCAACAGAGTCTGTACACTTCGAGTTCCGGCTTGTGTGTTGTCACCAACGCACTCTTTCAAGGAACGTCTGTACCCCACTCCACTACAACAGCGGCACGAATGAGTCTCCACAGTTTCACTGCGCACTTTAATTTTGAGATTCCTCCTGCCATTTATTCGCTTCGAGCATACCTCCACTTTACCATTTTCAATTAGGTTTTTCGATACCCTGGCTACTGGCACAAAAGTCTAATGCCACGAGGTCTTAGTTCAAACTGACCGGCTGGATGACGCCAACCCTGCTGTTTCACCAAATCTGTTGTCTTCATTCCTCCTTTTCCGTAATTCGCACCAATCTTGCCGTGCGCCATGCAGGATATGTCTTGTTTTACCCCCTCATTTTTTGCCGGTAGCCTTCAACTTCCAACGTTAACACCGGATAATGCCTATTGTTTATGACACTGTCCCTTTTATGCTCAGTTCGCTGTACCCACAAACCTCACCACTCATGCTTTTGTCCTGACTGTCACATTATGATCATACCAGGTGGCGTGTCACCCGCCAGTTGGAAAATGAACACTTCCATCGTTGGCTGCTCAGTTGACACGCTGCCTTTCAGGGCCTGTGAGCTTCAAAGCGAAGTTCAACGTCCTGAGTACTCTTCATTCTGTGGACCGACTTTTTGAAAGCTGGATCTGCCTGCTTTTTTGCATCGGTTCTACTGTGGTTTTATAAAGCATCGCCCCAGAAACGGTCTTTTTCTAGTCTGCGTTATTGACATCCATGTATCCTCTACTCCATATCCACTTCCTGCGGGCCAACGGAAACCTTGCCCTTTAAACGCTGGAGCCGTTCAAATGAATAAAGTCGGGACAGTGGTTTCTAGACTACTATTTTGCTTCAAGTAACCAAGAGCTTCCAATGGGACTTGGCAAACATTTACAGTTAGAGAATATAGAACTAGACACGCTGAATAGCTGGACATTCGGCTCGATTCAAACAAACCACCCCAACCACATCGGCAGCAGTCTGCCTGAAATCTCTTCTTATTCTTCAACTGACCTGGTGGACTCTCCTCATTTAACTCGCACGGGATTCCACAGAATATCTGTAGCTTACAACAGCGCTTTTTGAAAACCCTGACCGAGTGTTCTCCATGGGACCTCGGTCTCGGCCGTTTAGAGTGTCTGTCCTATGAGTTATTATGCCTACGCCAACGTCCTGCTGCTGCAAGACACGCTTGGATGAGCTTGTTTTTCTTCTGGTAGAATATCGACGCTTCAGAAATGACTTGGTTCCGAACAATCACTTTTAGAAAAGAATATTCCCAAAACTGCTGTCAATAACC